ATAACACATGGTCCTAAGTATTCAGACCCTTTGCTCAGTATTTAGTAGAAGCACCCTTTTGAACTAATACAGCCATGAGTCTTTTTGGGAAAGAGGCAACAAGTTTTTCACACCTGGATTTAGGGATCCTCTGCCATTCCTCCTTGCAGAGCCTCTCCACATTAATAAAACTGTAATAGAAGAAAAACAACTGTATTAGTATCTCAATGATAATGAATTAACACTTAGCAGTAACTAGAATTTGAAACAGGATCAATCTCAGGTCAAAATCAACAGAGTGCAAACTTTCACCTCACAGAAGAAAATGTTATTTAGTGCAATCACAACACTGACTGGCTGTATCAGCTCCCTGCTGTACTCCTGTATGTATGAGCGTGTCAGTGGCACTGAAGGGACAGACAGGTGTAAGTGCTTAATTAAATATCATTAGCATGTGCTGGGCCTGAAAAAGCGCTTGATGGAAACAGACCTCTTTAGACAGTGGCTCAGCATATATAGAGAGGACTGCGGACGCTCTGGACCCAGAGCTCAACACTACACTCTGGAGCCTGCGGCGGGACAGAACGGGCCTGGCTGGGCTTCAGTGTACCTGCATCTCTCAGGAGGGATTGAGAAACATGTCTCGCTGGAGGTGTGAGGATTTATGGTGTGTGATGTGATGGGGAACTCTGTGTGGATATGCATGAGCATGTGTTCTTTGGAGGTGACTGCAAGGAGCAGAAGACCAAACAAGTTAAGCTGCAAATGAGGTTAATTATTATGCAGGACCATTATTGGATGGTGGGATAAATCTTTGTTGTTTGTGCATCGTATCAAGTACTGAGTCATTTGCAAGTGTTAGGATTCTCCATCCAAATGCCAAATAACCTCATTTTTACTCACTTATATTGGTAGCTAAATTAGATTAGGATGTATATACAATGATTTTGGAAATAATTGTCACAGTGCACTTTTGTAACTGAACCAATAAGATCTGTGTGTTTGGTTCGTCTCAAACAGAGTTCGGCTGTTTTCGCTCAAGGTGTTTCTGCGAAACGAGTCCCTTGTGGTTTCATTGTGTTTTTTAATTGGTTTACTTCAATAGATTTTTTTTCTCTCACACACACACATTAACAAACACTCCTTTATAAACCCTGTGTGAATAGTTAAAGCACAGTGATTATATATGTGCAATATCTAAGGGGCAAATTAATATTTAACTGGATTTACAGCTAATCATTGCAGTATGAAATATTAATTTTAATCTTAATGGCAGGGGCTTTGTGCTAGTTCACATGAGACCATGTGTTATTTTATTCTGTAATAGGTTTTTCTCTTTTTCACATGCGATGGTTGATATTAAATGGTTAGTTTAGCCAAAATATGTATAATTTCCTGTTTGAATGTATCTTATAGAGAGAGAGAGAGAGAGAGAGAATGTTCATGCTGAAAAAAATAAATAATAAAAGCTTCATGGACTGTCGATGATTGATTGTAAAAGAGCAGCATGAAAAACTTTAGAAATATATATTTTTTATTTATATATATTTTTTGTATGAGGGTGAGTAAATGATGACAGAATTTACACTTTTTATTGAGCTATCCCTTTGAAGATTTTTATAGTCTACGCCTTCAGTGTTTAATGTCTGGACAGTAATAATCACAGCAGTGTCCAGTAAATAAAGTCTCCGTCAGGCGAAGGCGAGCACCAGAAGCAGCTTTACTAATGCTTCAGAGGGCTTTGATTGATTGTCAACCTTCTCCTGCTTTTGAATTTCTCATTTCCTATTCAGAAGCTTTATTCATCGCACAAGGCTTGACAGTTTTCGATATGAGACCTTCATAGTTCCACACATCAACAGAATATAATGGAGTGTGTTCCTTCTCTCCATTTCTTTGCAGACAATATTTCAGCACGGCTGTAGTGTAATATAAACAATCCATAAAAATATGAGTCAATTATAATATCTCTGTGTCACAATCTTTGATTTAACAGTTGCTCTTATGCATCTTCTTGTATGCTCATAGATTGCTGCCCATGGTATTTTAATGAAATATTAATTAAATCACTGAGTTGCTTTGCTGTTATGTTCTTTTGTCTCTGTTTGTGGATTAATGGGCATGAAACTGCAAACTGCTCGATGCAGATGAGCTGTGCATAACACGTAATTTTCTCTAGGAGACAAACAAACGTAATGTGCGCCCTAAAGTTAGAATACATTTGCATATTTTGGCAGATTGAACGTTCCGCACTTTAATTTACCTGTCACAGATCTGCTCAACAACAAACTGTATGGCAATGCTTCACAAACGCAACATGCATAACACTGAGATGCGGCGTAACCGGCATAAAACAAACAAGCAATGTGACCGGCTCTCGGTGAATCCTATGAAAACATGTCTGGGTTCCATTTCACCAAAACCAGGAAATGTATTATGTTTTGCATATTTTGGAGCTTAAAGGGGTAGTTCATGTGAAAATGAAAATTTGCTGTTAATTTTACTCACCCTCAGGCCGTCCAAGATAGGTGACTTTTTTTTTTCCTTCGGTACAACAGAAGATTTTCTGCTGAAACCATGGTCCTTGGTGATTCATAAAATGCAAGTCGGTGACTATTGTCACTTTGAGAGTAAGAAAAACATATACAGGCAACACAAAATTAATACCCATGGCTCCTGACGATATATTGAGGTCTTCTGAAGCAAAACGAGCGGTCTGTGCAAGAAACCAAACTTTATTTATTTATTATTACCTGTAATCCAGAGCCTTAGGCAACAGGAAACATATTCCTTTTTTTTTTTGCAAACTAGTTCTTTCAGACAGTTTGTTTCATAAACTGATTCAGTTCACTAGTTTGTTTATCTAATCACGCAATGATGTAACATATACGCAATTATATTATCAAAGCAACCCAATAATGATTTGAAATGTGGATGTTTTACATGTCTCAAGCATATAAAGTGAATAAACTAGTCTTCATCAGTTCACATTTTTACATTAACAATGAGAAACTAAGAAAAAAAAAAAGGTTAATTTCTTCCCAGGGTTCACGTATGCACATATCAGCGGCTTATCGGTCTTCAGTCCGAGTCGAACTGTTTCCTCAGTTCAGTGAGTGTTGAGGAACTGGAGAACTGAATGAGTTAATTCATAATAAGATCAGATACTGTAGTGTTTTGGCTCATTCTAAGTCCCAGTGACTGTCAGGTATCTGAAAAGTGAGTTTTGATTGAGTAACTTGTAGATCTATTTTGCTCGAGCCACAAACTGTTTCAGATGGTTCAGTCCGATCTGGTGAACTGGTTCAACTAGTTCACGAAAATGAACTGGCTCAAAAGAATGATTTGTTAATGAAGCATCACTCTGGACTGTTTGCCTGAGGCTCTGGGTTACAGGTAATAATGCTGTAAATAATGTGCAGTTTCTTGCACAGACTGGTCATTTTGCTTCATAAGACCTCAATATATCATCAGAAGCCACAGGTATACATTTTGTGTTACTGTACCTGATATGCATTTTTTTTTCTTTGTTTTTTTTTTTTAACTCTCAGCAGGCATTGACTCATATTTTGTGAATCACCAAGGACCACGGTTTCAGCTAAAAAAAACAAACAAAATAAATGGAATTGCTGTTCTACTGTTCTAGCAAAACTGTCATTGAATGAAAAAGAGCTACATGTACATTTCTCTAAATATCCCCTTTTGTATGAGGGTGAATACATTATGACATACTTTTTGTGTGTGCCGGCTTTGTTGTTTTATGACTGAACAATAATATTCACTGTGGTGTTCAGTAGATGCAAAAACATTTTGCAGATTGCATAAAGAACATGTTGCCTACTTTTGGAACCATTACATTTCTTTCTTTTGTAACTGTCAGGGGCTGGCGTCTGGTGTTCTCCCTCTCACCACCAGAGGTCGCCATCTCCCATCCTCGGACCCAAAACCCTTGCTCACACGGTGTGATTCCTGACCGCGCCGTGACAGTAACACAACTGCCATCAATTTTATGGGAGTTGAGCAGATTTAGGCCAGTCATTGCAGCATTGTAACAAATATTGTCCTGTATTTCACACACACACACATATATATATATATATATATACTGTAAAAAATGACAGTGAATTTAACGGTAGTTGCCCAGCGACAGCCCCAAAACATTACTGCTCTAGAGGAGATCTGCATGGAGGAATGGGCCAAAATACCAGCAACAGTGTGTGAAAACCTTGTGAAGACTTACAGAAAACGTTTGACCTCTGTCATTGCCAACAAAGGGTATATAACTAAGTATTGAGATGAAATTTTGTTATTGACCAAATACTTATTTTCCACCATAATTTGCAAATAAATTCTTGAAAAATCCTACAATGTGATTTTCTGGATTTTTTTTTTCTCATTTTGTCTCTCATAGTTGAGGTATACCTATGATGAAAATTACAGGCCTCTCTCATCTTTTTAAGTGGGAGAACTTGCACAATTGGTGGCTGACTAAATACTTTTTTCCCCACTGTATATATATATACACTGTATATGTGTGTTTATTTATTTAACATTTCTAGATTCACCCTGCCATCCTGTCCACTGGGCTTTGGTTTTCCCTTCCCATCATGCTTTGCCTGATGTCTCATTATTTCAACATATATTGTCTGATCGTCTGACTGGCACACAATAAATGGCTCTTTTCTGAATGCTAATCACAGATTTTTCTTTCTTTTTTTGATCGTGTGACACTTCATGGATGATTCATGAGCAAATTGAATAGGTATATTTTTCTTGTCAAAAACAGAATAAGGCTCCAGAATCCAACACATTCAGTGCAATTTGCTTTCCTTTAAATTAAATTTGCTAGCTTTTAAATGTTTTTGACAGTGATTTATAAGAAACAAAGATCCGTGTTTTTACTTGTCATACATTGGTGATACTGCAGTCATATTTTTCTTGGCTGAGTCTCGTGTATTTACGATTGCCAAAGCCTCCGCCTCGACTTCTCCAATTACCTTTCCACCGTCTGCATGGTTACCATGGCAATGGTTACCGATGGAGACCAGGAGTTCAGGGAGCTCGAGAGTGCGGCTGCAGGGAAACCAAGATTATTGAATGATGGAAGGTTAGTTAGGAATATTGCTGTACTTTTTACTTTAGATGTTTTTCTGAAGTGCCTGAAGAATAGCTCTTGAAGTCACTATTAATTTTGTTTATTGTTAATAAAGGCTAAAGATTTGGTTAAACAGATTAAACATAAGCACTTATTACTAGTGATGTTTAATCAGCTGAACAAGCATTATGTTGTTAAACAACAGTACAATACATTGAATGCACTGTGCTTTAGTCTCTCAGAGCCTCATTTTCGTTACTGTAATAAAAAAAAACTATAAACAAACATTACAAAACACACTATTTTTAAAGTATGATCATATAATGTTTGTTAAGACTGGTATGGTGCAGTTTCAGTGCTTACTAACCTTGTCTGTCTTAAAGGGATAGTTCATCCAAAAATTAGTTACTCACCCTCATGTCTTTCCAAACCCGTAAGACCTTCGTTCATCTACAGAACACAAATTAAGATATTTTTGATGAAATCCGAGCGCTTTCTGACCCTACATAGACAGCAACGAAATTGACACATTCAAGGCCCAGAAAGGTGGTAAGGACAACATTAAAAAAGTTCATGTGACATCAGTGGTTCAACCTTAATTTTATGAAGCTATGAGAATATTTTTTGTGCGCAAAGAAAACAAAAATAACAACTTTATTCAACAATCTCTTCACTTTCGTGTCCTTCTATGACATGCGTTCACGAGAGTACCTCGACGCATGCGGTGCTGCTGACGCACGAGCCAGCGTCCTATCCCTTTAAGTTCAACTTTGTTGCTGACTATTGCAAGATTTGCACAAGGTTACCGGAAAGAGATTAATCATATCAACTGTATATATACAAATGCTACATGGAACAAATTCAGTTCTAAGATTTAGAAAAAAAAAAAAAAGTAGTTTATTTGCTAATAAGTTCACCTTTTGTAGACATCCTAAAAGCAAGGTTTTATCATGTTTAGATTCTGGACTTCTGGCCAAGTTTGCAATATCAAGCAACATCTAACGTTTTAGAAAAGTTAAAGAATAGTTACAACAAAATATTCTTAAAATACCATTTATGGAACGTTCTTATATCTTTATTAATATTTGATATACGTTATCATAATACTGAAGGGAAAAAAAACAGTCTGATGTCAACATTCTCCAAACATCCTCCAAATGTTCAAATAACGTTATATTATGGCTAAAAGATTTAGTAGAATGTTGTAAGAAATATTTATTTTATTTTTATATACAAAGTATATATATTAGTCACCCCTCCTCTTGTTGTCTGGCTTCTATAATTTATTTTCATAGGCAGCAAACAGGCGATCCTGCCCCAGTGCTACGCCACAGATTAAAATGTGACAAAACTAAGCGGCAGCCACATTGATCATGCGGACAGGAGTGTCGGCTGGGGGAGTCAGACACACAATCTGGCTCTCCACCGGGAGATTGATGCACAAGGCCATTGTGTGTCACTCTGAAGAATACAATCGGCTGCTCTGGTTTTGTGTTTTTTCCCAGATGTTCGTTGTTGGAAAAGTGTTTGTGTGTTGCTCTGTTTAAGACTGAAAAAAAAGAATGTCAAGAGAGCAACTGTCGCTCTCAACAAGAATGAATGAAGCACATAGATTTTGAAATATTCACCTCAGTGGAACAGTTGTTTCTGCTGTTCATAACCGTTTTCATCATCAGCCGTTTGCAGACGAGACTCATTTGAATTCAGTCTTGAGGTCTCAGTCCAGTCTCACATATGATATGCTCCATGCAGCAGATGCTTACATGCCACTGAAATAAAAGTGCCTTTTCCACTTGGAAAAATTGATAAATAAAATGTTTAATATTTTTTTTTTTAAATATCCATGAAATGAAGACACCTTAAAATGACAAGAAATCTTATTGTGTAATCTCAGGCTATGCAATTTATTATTTTATGACTATTTTCCTACCTCATGTTTTGGTATTTTTGTCAACCCTGTTACTGACTGACACAAGCATTACTAGATACTATAGTTTAATTAGAACTCATATGCCACTGAATGATATAGGCAATAGTTCAATAAAATAGTGAGGGTGACCTGTAAAATGCTTGGATTTTACACAGACAATCTTTAAAAAAACAGGGTTAAACATAATCAATGTAATCCCTGTTAACCACATGCCAAAACCTGTTACTCTAAAAATTAACAGATTGACAGTAACAGGTTTGATGATTTCAAACAAATTTGCTCATTTCTAGCTAATAGTCAAGTTCACAAACACACATGTTGTACACTTTGAAAGGATTTTACTTGTATAAATAATTGTTTAAATTTACATTTTAAAAATGGTAACATGATTGACATTGCATGATTTTTGGCATGATATTTTAGAAGACTCCCAAAGAGAGCCCACATATTCAGGAGAACCTTGGTCGAACACACCAGAATTGATGCTGGTCCAAGTAGTCTCACCTTCTGACGCCATCATGGATGGACCACAATCTGATAAAAAAAACAAACAACAAAAAAATCTGCTGACGACTTGATAAAATAGCAAAATCCGGTCAGATTGCCAGACTGCAAAGCAATTTCTGGGAATCAGGATGCACAGATTTTTTTTTTTTTTTTTTTTTTTACACATTAAGACATTTAAAAGCTCTTGAAAGAAAAAGATAAACAATGGATTTGCCCATGTGTGCCAGGGTTTGTGGCTTCAGATCTTCAGAGATTTGTGTTGAGACATTAAGTAGCAAGTAAACTAGACATCCATTTTGCAGTTCTTTGCTAGAATACGGTGTAATGCGGGCCAGACTTCATGCCGCGAGTCTGGCTTTGTGAGACACTGCAAAAGGTGACATTTTCCAAAGAACCAAGTGAAATATAACCATTGCCTTTTACGTAATTGACATATGCCAAGTAAATACATAAATACATTTTTAGAACAGTGTTTCAACCTTCCATCCTGTTAAAGAAATTCAACATTATATCTGGTCATTAACATAGTAGCACCTCATCGCTCTCCGAGGATTCTGACGAGCTCTGCAGATATTCATAGCATCCCGCTAATGACTTTTCTGGAGATTGTCTCACGTCTTAATTACTTTGCTTTACCTGCTAGACAAGTTTTCTCCCTTAATCCCCTTTACATAACTCTGACTATAGAAGATTAGCCAAGATAAGTTCCATATCTAATTAACCCTAATGCTCCCCTCAGTGGTTTTCAACTCTCATTCTTGCTTTGCATCCAAGACCCTATAAAGCCCCTTCCAAATTGTTTCCTGTTGTCATATCGATTCATTAAAATTGGAAGACTTAAATGCCTGGAGATGCTGTGTAGATCATGTGGGAGACTCTTGTTCCCCCTAAAACTCAAATAATGGCAGATGCAAGGACCAGTGTGCATTAATGACTGCGGTGTCAACTGACAACATCTGTGCACTCTTAGAGTTTTTAGCTGCCTGAAATCTCTAGACGCCAGAACCAAATCAGAGCCATTAGCCCTGGTTTATCAGAGCATCTCTCGACCAGAGTGGGTGGGTTTTCCAGGCCTTCATAATAATGTTCACCGTAGGATTGGAAGGTCGGGGGGGGGATGTTAAATAGAAAAGGGAATATTTGCTCTCAAGTTCGGAAATGTAAATTTAATAGAATAATGACTGACAGCGATGACTGGCCAAGTAGCGCAGTCCATTACTTGGCAAGTAGGTGTGATTGCTGATATCACTGGAAATAGTGGAGATAGATCTAGTGTATTTTCCACCTCCTAGCGAGTACAATACTCATCATTGGCTAGCAACAGTTCTACAGACCTGGGATTCTTTGATCAACCCAAGGCTCATTGGAAAAATGTGCCTAGGGCATAATTTCTGCAAAATATTTTGTTGTATGTTTTGTGACACTTTCAACATTTTCAAAATGTTCAGTGAGTGGTGCTAAAAGCATGTTCAGTTTTATCTGAAACTGATGAATGTGAATGTAGCATAATTTTATTACATTGGCTGTTGTACATATCATGGCAGTTCAGAATTGAAATGTCTGGTGAGTGGCACATTTGAAAATAATGTACCGTTTACACTAAACCTAACCAATAATGTTAACAAAAACAAACATGAGATAAAAAACATGCCACTTAGCTGGTTTCTTCAAGTCTTTGAACAATTTTATTGTGACTCGTGTTTCACGTAACTCATACCCAAGCTCTTCGCAAGTGCAGTGCTGTAGCAGGTGTGCTAGCAAGCAAGCTTACTATGTCAGAACAGCCAAACATATAGAGCTGTCTATGTGATGCAAACATCAAAATGTGTTAATTTTCAAATCATGCACTATAGTAAAAATGTGTATTAATAAATAATTTGCACCTGTAATTATAATTTGTGAGTAAATGAACAAAAAATGTTGGTCTTTTACTGCCACTAGTGTTAATTTCAGCTATAAACTGCAGTGTTTTGTATGTATTGGCCTGTTTTTGAAAAAAAGAGGGTAGAGGCATACTGTACTTTCCAATAAGTTGTCTGTGAGTACTCAAATGCTTGACTTGAGATGTTTGCCCTTGTCTGTTGTTGTTGAACTGTTACTTGGATTGGAAGAAACTGATGAATGGTGAAAAAAGATAAGCTCCTGTCAAGATTGGAAATGGGTTATACTTTCCTGCAAGTATGCAGGTCTACTTTTTGAGACTTGGCTTGAGACTCTTGGCCAAGTCCTTTCTGAACCCTTACTAGCATATACTTACAAATTCTCACTGACGAAGGAACTGCAAAAATGAGCTTCGGTTTAGTGACAATCTATTTTTACACTTTTCTTCTGCGTGGCTTGAACTCCTGTAAGACTGACTAAGCATTTGTGACAGAACATTTTTTCCATGGGACGTCCAACAGCTGTTGTAGATGCCTGAGCCTGGCAGAGTTTTGTGAGATGAGGACTTGGAGATGGTTGTAGCCTTCAGATGATATCCCAACACACCGACTTCTGGGGAAATGCTGAGAGAATTTTCTCCTAGGGTGCCATGTTTCTTGACAGTGAATGTTTAGCCAGAAGCACTGGCAGACATTTAAAGTCAAGAGGGGAGCATTTTCCCTCAACCATTTGGACCGATATTGTTGCTAGCAGAGAAATATGCTGTTGAAATACAGTTAAATCTGTCAGTGTGGCAGAAGATTGTTGTGTCCGTCATGGCTTGTCATTGACCAAATTAAGAGCACGCAGTAATTCTACTGAAGGTTAAAATTAAGACTCTTTTAAGGTCACGTTTCACTATGCTGATCCACATATTAGCTGCGTTTTGCCATTGCCTGCCTGACTAAACAATTGGGTGCCGGATTGACCTCTTGCATTATTGCAAGAGGGCCCCAGCGTAGTAATTACAGTCCATCTCAAAATGTCAGCGAGAAGGGCAGAGCTGAGCAATGCTTTACTCCTGCAACTGTTAACTGTTCCTCTCTCTTACAAGAGCTTATTTAAAGAAATGTGCCACAAGGTGTGAACAAGCGGATTGCGACTTCACCCACCAGTGCTAATTTACCACTGTAATGAGCATGCAGTGATGCATGATTATCAGGCAATTATATTTGGTTACCATGCAAACAGGGTGCATCATGGGACTTCAATAAATACAGAGAAAAACAGCATCACAGAAAGAGAGCTCTGGTTTCCAAATGGCAGCCTTTACTCTAACACCAGCCCTTTTGTTTCCGATTTCCATGAATATTAAAAGGCTCTCTGTTCTTATGCCTGGAGTGTCATCTGGCATAAAAATTTGAGATTCAATTGCATTTACAGTCAAAAATAAATTATTATTACCATCAGATGAAGTTATTGGAGTGTGAGTAAGAATTGATTTAATTGTTCAGATGTATCCAAGCTCCCTTAACGAACTGAGAGGGGGCGGGTTAGATTGAGCATCCCTATGAGAGAAGAGACTAATGATCGATGACCAATGATCAACCACATTCTCGCCAGAATTCAGTGGAGTGCCTGTGTGTTAATGTCTATGTACTCTCATGCCAGAATTCAGCCTGGGTAATACCTTTACGCCTGTTTTGTTTTGCGTTTTTTTGAATATGTATCTTATTAAAATAAGCTCTGTTTAACAGTAGTTGGTTCTAATTAAAAAATTGGACACCCTAAGGCCATGTCCACATGTACACGGGTATTTTTATAAAATAAGGTTTTTCCTCCTCCTGTTTTTAAAAAAATCTCCAGCCACATGAAAAAGCAAAAGCATGCCTTGAAGCACTGTCAAGAGCATGCCAAGCCAACAGGTGGCAATATAATCTCAACCGCAATGTTGGCCAATCAGAAGCCTGAAAAAGTTTTCAGTTGGCGGATATAACAGCACATGCTCCGATGTCACAAGCCAAAATTTTTTGAAAATCTTCATCCTGGCAGGAGTTTTCCAAAATGTTTGGTTTCAGTGACCTGGTGCTGCGTTTGTGTGTGGACGAACGGCCAAACTGCATAGAAAAAGCTACGGTTTTGAAAATACCCGCGTTTGTGTTGACAGGGCCTAAGAAATTAATAGTGTTTTTGTGGAGAGTCATAAAAATGGCATGCACTCACAGATGAAGACTGTAGTCATAATTAATTAATTAATTATAAATGGTGCAGCATTTCACTAAATAACAGAGATAATCCTCATACTCCTGCCTGTACATAAATCAGAGAGCCTTCTGACCGTGCATAGACAGCAACGGAACTACCATGGTCAAGGTCCAGTAACGTAGTAAGGGCATTGTTAAAATAGTCCATGTGACATCCGTCGTTCAGCTGTAAATTATGAAGCTACGAGAACACATTTTGTGTACAAAGAAAACAACAACAAAAAATTGTTTATTAAACAATTCTTTACAATTCTAAACAATTCTATTTCAACTATGTCCTACGTTTCTGGGCCTAGGACGTTGTAGTTGCATTGCTGTGTATGCAGGATCAGAAAGCTCTCGGATTTAATCAAAAATATCTTAATTTGTGCTCTAAAGATTAACGGATATTTTACGGGTTTGGAACGACATGTGGGTTAGTAATTAATTACAGAATTAGCATTTGTGGGTGAACTATCCCTTTAATAGCAGCGCAGTGTCTAACACCATTATGGTATTGGTATTTAAAGTGCACAAAGAGTAGTGATGCTAACTCTGTCTAAAGGACTACTAAATCTCTCATTAAATGATCAACAAAAATGTGACATCATCATGGTACATCCAGGAATCTCTGTAGTCCTTGATAATTCGTCATCCGGAATATCCTATACCCGGAAATCTCTGTGCGATGCATGTGACTCATGATCTTAAATTACTGGAGAGCAGCTCCATATATCCCAATAGTGGTTCCTTTTTTTATTTTTAAATGTGTTGTTACCGTAAACTTGCCTGCATTAAGGCTAAGGGAATTAAATCACTTCATTAACTATGAACTTGATTTCTGCAAGTAGTGAACTTGAGCCTTTAACGCTCACTTAGTTTTTCCCTCCCTATTGTCCAATGTGTGTAATGAGGTCACGTCTGTTGGAATGATGTCCATGTCTCTGGGGTGCTGTGCGTTCTGGTCGACTCTCACTAACTCTTTGCTAATACCCGGCCGTAAGTCCAAGGGACAGCCAAATTGCTGGATAAATCTGCCCTTTATGCAAAGTCAGAGCCAGGAGGAACAGACAGACAGATAGAGAGAGGGGTGGAAGGGAGAGTGAACAGATCAACTGGACATATTGTGCTCTGTGTGTGTTGAGAGGGGGTGGACGCACAGCCTGAGTCAGTATTAAAGGCCACGGTGACACCCGCGTGGAAGATTCTTACTCAATTTTCTCAGGCCAAATGTAATCAGGTCAGAGGAACAAACTGGAATCCAGAATCTTCTTTCGGTCTAAGCTGACTTATTAGTATGAGCTCAAGGTTTAATTTAAAATTTCATTTGAATTTCACATCAAGCCAGATAAAAAGGATTTAAATTGATATCAGGTTGTGATATCAAGATATTGATTATGAACAATGATGCTGCATCAAATATGGACCTCTCAATCAGTTTTAGCAAAGAGCAGCTCACTAAGTCAGCATTTCAGGTTTTGATACAGAGTTGTTTTTCTTCTGGTCTTTGAAGGCCATAATTGGGCAAAACTTTCACTTTGGTTCTCTCCTCCCTTCAGATCTGTCAGTCTAAAAGCTGATGTCTCTTTCAAAACCCAAGGAAAAACAGCCTCTATGGTCAAGTAAAAGTCTCCCCTGAGAGAGAACGAAAAAGAGAGACAAAAAAAAGGAGACAGGCGGGGTATCCGACTCTGATCCGTGCTAGGACTGAAGTGGGAGGAGGCAGGTGGCACAACACATGGCATTTAAACATCATACTGTGTGAAGAGACGGCAGCATGCAGCTCTCGGCGCAGGCATCCAGTCCGACTCTAATAAGCCCACTAGCATGTCAGAGTCACCCAGAGATCCCTGTGGGTAACAGAGCTTCCCATCTTCCCACATCCCAACACCCAGGAGTCCCAGACTGAATAGATGCCAGAGCGTCTGCATGTATCTTTCAGTCCTTAGCTCTGT